TTAACTATTTGCTTTTCGCAATATATTGAGATTACTGGGTGGGAGCTCTATTAATATCGATGACTTTTGTGAAAGTTCAAAAAGGAGATGTATTTTCCATGTGTAGATTATAAAGATAGAATTAGAGATAAAAAAAATAGAGATAGAGATATACTGCATCAATCTTGCTGTTTATTATTGAAATTTTACTTTTTTATTGATTTTGTTCACTTCATCTTTCAAATTCTGAAAAAGGCATATTAAATTTCCAACTGTGAAAAAAAAAAAATAATACAATCAATAACTTAGACCTGACATATATATAGAGAGAGAATATTTCATCCTTCAACAAGCGAATACACTTTCTTCTCAGCAGCACATGGTTCCTTCTCTATACTAGATCATGTATTATGCCACAAAGAAACTCTTAGCAAATACAAAAAAGTAGAGATACTATCCTGCATTCTATCAGATCATAATGAAAAAAAATTACAAATCAATGATAAAATAAAAATAAAAGCTACTCCAACACGTGGAGACTAAGTAATATGCTACTGAATGAACAAAGGGTTGCAAAAGACATCAAGGAGGAGATTCAAAAATTCTTAGAGGTAAATGAGAACACTGACACAACATATCAAAATCTCTGGGACACCATAAAGGCAGTACTAAGAGGAAAGTTCATTGCATGGAGTTCATTCCTTAAAAAAAAAAAAAAAAAAAGTCAACAAATATATGACCTAACATTACATTTCAAAGCCCTAGAAAAAGAAGAACAAATCAACACCAAAAGCAGAAGACAGAAAATAATTAAAATCAGAGCTGAAATCCATGAAAGTGAAACAAAAGAAACAACTGAAAAAATTGACAAAAAGTTGCTTCTTTGAAAAAAATATATAAAATTGACAGACCCTTAGCCATGCTAATGAAGAGAAGGAGAGAGAAAACTCAAATCACTAACATACATGATGAAAAAGGTACTATCACAACAGACACTACAAAAATACAGAAGATAATTAGAAATTATTTTGAAAACTTATATTCCAATAAAATAGAAAATACTGAAGGCATCGACAAATTTCTAGAGTCATATGATTTGCACAAATTGAATCAGAATGATATACACAATTTAAATTTATCAATTTTAAATGATGAAATAGAAGATGCCATCAGAAGCCTACCGACCAAGAAAAGTCCAGGACCAGATGGATACACATCCGAGTTCTACAAGACTTTTGAAGAAGAACTAATACCAATACTCTCGAATTTATTTCAGGAAATAGAAAAAGAGGCAGCACTTCCAAACTCATCCTATGAGGCCAATGTCACCCTGATTCCAAAACCAGGCAAAGACACATCAAAGAAAGAAAACTTCAAACCAATTTCACTAATGAACATACATGCAAAAATTCTCAATAAGTTCTGACGAATCAAATAAAAACATATCAAAAAGATAATGCACCATGATCACAAGGGGTTCACTCCAGGGATACAAGTTTGGTTCAACATACGGAAATGAATAAATGTAACTCATCACATCAAGAGACTTAAAGATAAGAATCATATGATTTTATCTAATGATAATCAATGCAGAAAAAAAGCATTTGTCAAATACAGCACCCCTTCATGTTCAGAACACTAGAAAAACCAGGGAAAAACAGGCACATATCTTGACATTTTGTAAAAGCTATCTACGCAAAGCCCCAGGCCAACATCATTCTAAATTGAGAAAAATTGAAAGTATTCCCTCTAAAAACTAGAACAAGACAGGTATGCCCTCTTTCACCATTTCTATTTAACACAATTCTTAAAACACTGGCAACAGCAATTAGACAGATGAAAGAAATTAAATGGATATGGATAGGAAAAGAAGAATTCAAATCAGCACTATGCTAATGATATGACTGTATACATAGAAGACCCAAAAAATTCCACCAGAAAACTTCTAGAACTAGTAAATGAATTCAGCAAAGTAACAGGATACAAAATCAATACCCATTAAACAAAGGCATTTCTGTATATCTGATATACAAATCCTCTGAAAGGAAAATTACCCATTTATAATAGCCTCAAAACAAATAAAATACTTGGAAATCAACCTAACAAAAGAAGTGAAAGACCTCTACAATGGAAACTATAGAACACTAAAGAAATTAAAGAAGACCTTAGAAGATGAAAAGATCTGCCTTGTTCTTGGAGAGGCAGAATTAATATTGTCAAAATGACCATAGTACCAAAAGCACTATACAGATTTAAGGCAATTCCAATCAAAATCCCAATGACATTCCTTTTAGAAATAGAAAGAACAGTCATGAAATTCATCTGGAAAAATAAAGAGACCCAGAATAACTAAAGCTATCCTTAGCAAGAAGAGTGAAACAGGTGGCATCACTTTACCAGACCTTAAACAATACTACAGAGCAATAGTAACAAAAATAGCATGGTATTGGCACCAAAATAGATTTGTAGACCAATGGTACAAAATAGAGAACAGAGACTAACCTACATAATTACAGTTATCTTATATGGACAAAGGTGCCAAAAACATACATTGGAGAAAAGATAGCCTCTTCAACAATGGTGCTAGGAAAACTAGAAATCCATATGCAACAAAATGAAATTAAAACCCTATCTCCCACCATGCACAAAACTCAACTCAAAGTGGATCAAGGACCTAGGAATTAAACCAGATAAACTGTGCCCAAATCTCCATCATGTCAGATTAGGCCCCACTTTCCTTAATAAGACTCTTATAGTACAAGAAGTAAAATCAAGAATAAATAGGATGGATTCAAACTAAAAAGCTTCTTCTCAGCAAAAAAAGAATAGAGAGACTATATCTTGGGAGCAAATTTTTACCCCTCACACATCAAAGACCTCTGATCCCTAGGGTATATAAAGAACTCAAAAAGCTAAACACCAAAAAAAAGAAATAACCCAATCAATCAATGGGCCAAGGAACTGAAAAGACACTTCTCAGAGATGATATATAATCAATCAATAAATATATGAAAAAAATGTTCATCATCTCTAGCAATTAGAGAAATGCAAATCAAAACTACTCTAAGACTTTATCTCACTCCAGTCAGAATGGCAGCTATTATGCATACAAACAACAATAAGTGTTGGCGAGGATGTGGGGAAAAAGGCACACTCATACAGTGCTGGTGGGACTGCAAATTGGTGCTACCAATATGGAAAGCAGTATGGAGATTCCTTGGAAAACTGGGACTGGAACCACAATTTGACCTAGCTATCCCACTCCTCGGTCTATTCCCAAAGGATTTAAAAACAGCATACTACAGGGACACAGCCACATCCATGTTTATAGCAACACAACAAAACAGCTAAACTGTAGAATCAACCTAGATGCCCTTCAGTAGATGAATGGATAAAGAAAATGTGGTATATATACACAATGAAATATTATTCAGCATGAATAGAGAATAAAATCATGGCATTTGCAGGTAAATGGATGGAGTTGGAGAATATTATGCTAAGTGATGTAAGCCAATACCAAAAAGTGCCAAATGTTTTCTCCAATATAAGGATACTGATTCATAATGGGGTTGGAGGAGGGCATGGGTTTATAAGGATAAAGGATATTATTTATGCCTTAAGATAGATGAACTCTAGATAGGGAAAAGGGAAGGGATGGGAAAGTAGAAGGCATGGGGGTAGGAAAGGCGATAGAAGAAGATGGACATCATTACCCTAAGTACATGTATGAAGACACAAATGGTGTGACTCTACTTTGTGTAAAACTAGAGATATAAAAAAATTGTGCTCATATATAACAAATTAGAATAATTTAAAAAAAGAAAATCTATGTAATTAGAGTATACTATTTGGCTCAACGGTAAACATTTATACTACTTGGTCAATCTTCACAGTCCCATCACTATATCATTCACACACACACTATACACATACACACACACCCACACACACACCCACACACACAGTCTAAATTTAATAAATCAAGTAATAGAAATGTATCTTATTTAGCAATATGATAATTCTTTAGGGAGTAGGGTATATGGCTAAGTGAGAAGTGTTTTGTTTATTTAACTTTGGGTACTATAGTACTATTTAGCTTTAAAGTTATGTACTGTTTATTATATTGATAAAATAAATATTTTAAAAAGAAAATGCCTACGAATGACTATATAGAGGATATGAAAAAAGTTTGACAAAGAAAATAGATTTACATGTGGTACTACCAGAGATTATGCTAAATCTCCACTAATGTTTGTCAACAGGTAAAACATTTTATTTCTGGAGTTCACTTTTCATTTAAAAACAATCAATGCAAGAATAGTGAAGTATACATATGCTTTATTTTAAAGATGCTGAGCTGTTCAAGGAATAACAGAGGAGTAAAAGATAAGCAAAGGACTAGATTAGGTAGATGACTTTATTTTTTAAAAAAAGGAGAGGCTACAGTATGTTTAAGCTAAGAAAAAAAATCCACTAGGGAAAGAAGCAAAGAGTCAGCATGTAAAAAGTAGCTGGAGATGCTGACTAGGAAGTGAAAATAAAGAGATGCAGGATACCTCATATACCACTGAAAAAGGGCTTATAGTAATAATGGACCATGTGGTCTAATTTGAATAGGAAAAGATGTGAAGTAAGAAAGCAAATAAACAGTCTATGGCAAATATAAATATATCAAGATACTAAGTATCTTCAAAAGTGTAAAAATTGATACAAGGAGAATACAAAAGCAAGGACTAGAAAGGTAAGAAAATACACTTGATAAAATTAATGGCTATCACTAAAAACTGACCTTTATCCTTATAAACCAGACATAGTATTTATGCCTTAAGATAAATTCTGCAAGGTAAAAAATTTTGTATACATGACAAAATACAAACCACATTAAAATTCTCCATGTAATAAGATTCTCTCATATTTGTTAAATAATCTCAGTGCCTCCAGAGACAAACATTCTATTATGAGAAATATTTGTTTTTTTACACTTTCTTATTAGCACTTTTAGGTTTGTTTGGTTTTTTTACCTTGATCAACTACTTTTTGCTTTGTTTCTTCTATTCTTTTTAATTCCTGTTGCTTTGCTTCTAGGAGTTGTTTTTCTTCCTTTAAAGGATCATATTTTATTCCTATAGAAGCATTAAAAGGAAGAATCTAAATACTTTAAATTTAAATATACTCATTCTAATATTTACCTTTGAAAAAAATCACTAATTCATCGTCTACAAAAATTTAGAATAAAAGCCAATTTTATTTGAAGTAATATACCAAATTTATATATTAAAATATCTCCAAAATACCACCCAAAATATTTTATACAAATATAATTATAAAACATAAAGGTTTTCCCATCTATAAAAAAGAGTAAATTATAAACTTTAATATTTGACTTACTGGAAGAAGGCACTATGAGTAAATAAATATCTTCTAATACAGCTTCAAATGGTTGAGTATAAAGGTTTTTCCATGGAATTCTAAGTTTAAGATTACCTACAGTCAAAAAAAAAAAAGTATGAAAATATTCATCCAACCTACATTTACCATCCATCTATTTTATTCTGCCTTAGAAGAGATCTTTGAAAGATCAATAAGACTAACTATATCCAATAATGGCAAGGGGACAATATGTTCATTGTACCACACATTTGGAAATGTTTTCTCATTCAACAAATTGTATTCCTATTATATATACTAGGGAAGATGCTAAGTGGTGAGGATACAATAAAAACTAAACTGACTTCTTCTCCAGAAACTTGGTGTCAGGTTGGGATTGTAGCTCAGTGGTAGAGTGCTTGCTTAGCACATGTGAGGCATTGGGTTCGATCCTCAGCACCACATAAAAATAAATAAAATAAAGGTATTGTGTCTATCTACAACTAAAAATATTGAATTTTAAAAAAGAAAGTGACTAGTAGAAGGAAAAAATAAACAATAATAATATTAAAGAACGATAGTTGTGCTCTATATGTGTAATAAGAATTGTAATGCATTCCACTGTTGTTGTGTATTTTAAAAATAAATAAATAAATAAAATTTTAAAAAAAGAACGATAGGTACTAGGAGAAAGGTATGCAAACAAATACCTTAAATGATTCTCCAAATTATCTTGTTTAGTCCAGAGTTCTTTCCATTACCTTGTATTACCACTAAACATTACCTTATCATTTTTAAACAATAGCAAGCAAGAAAAAAGAGGAATGCATGATCTAAAGGAAATAGGTCCACGAAAGGAACTAGATATCTATATACACACATATGTATATACATGCATATACATATACATATATATGAATTTATATATCTATACTCACACATATACATACACACACACACATTTGGGTGGGAAAGAGGTGGTGCCTGAGAATCAAACCCAACACCTTATGCCTACAAAGCACATATTATATCACTGAGCTTTACCCACCACTCCCTCCTGATACATGAGGTTAAATTAATATACAATAAAATATGACAATAATTATTTTAAGAATTCAATGACTTATTGAAATTTTTAAAAGCTATCTTAAATATATTACCTGTTGTACAATGGACTAATGGGGATTATTCACCATACCCAAATATGCATTTACAGGATTATTATGATACCATAAGAAATAAATGAGTTCAAGTCAACTTGGATTATAAGAAATCCTTATTACACATAAATACAACATGGTTATAAGTATTTAAAATATATACATGTACACAATCAAAAACTCCAAAAAGAAAAATGTAAGGGGGCAAAATAATGGGTGACGTTCCCCCCCACCCTTTTACTTATGCTAAACTGCCTTTAAATGAGTGGAGGAATGGGACAAAATTCAAGTCTTGGCAATATAAGGTGATGAAAACTTTCTGTGGTATATGGTCCAATACCAACTATAATACACAAAACTGTGAAAACCTTCATAATATAATTTATGTAAACTTTCAAAATACCAGTTCCTCAATGGGACCAATACATATTCAATAACATTATAGAATCCCACTTCAAAAACAATATAGCAAAAATTTCAAAGTCCCAACTAAAGACACTTATCATCTTCCACAATATTTAAAATAAAACCATAATATAATCTAAGAATTATGACAAGTTTTTATTAAACATGTTGAAACTTTACACTCAGTTTCTACTCAATCAATATATTTAAAGTATGCACTATAAATACAGGTAAATTAATACAAAAACAAGGGGCTGGGGTACTAACTTAGAGGTTGAGCACTTGCCTAGGACATACCAGACCCTATCTTTGATCCCAGAACCACAAAAAAATAACATAAGATAAAAAATTAAAAATAAAATTTAAAATATAAAAAATGTAAAACAAGAAATTATACAGTATTTTCCGGAAATTCTGGAAACCTAGGGAAAAAAATCCAGAGCAGAAACAAGTTTTCAGATTGGTTCCTGGTGACAGTACATGGATGATCCAAACCCTCATCCTCACATCATACATCCAGTACTAATCAGAATACAGCAACAGTGATTACTCAGAAACCTAGAAAACAAAGACACTTAAGGTACCTGGTGGCCCCCAACTCAATTTTAAAACCTACTAGAATGTGTCATTTCTAAATTATGAAGGTATCAAGTACTGGGCAAGAGTACATAAATCTCACAATATTTTTAAGCCATACAACTAAACCCTACCTAAACAAGAATACATGATAACTTTATTTTCAGCAGTGCTCAGAAATATTTAAAATATATCATTACAGGGCAAGAAGGGCATTCCACTAATACAGCTTACCAATATGACCAACTTTAACTTTAAAGGGCACATCCAGTTGACTCTACCAAGAAAAAAAAAATATGTAAAGCATTAATAAATATAAAGTTCAAAACAAAAACTACTTTTTTCTCCCAATAATTGCTTAAAGGGTATCTGAATTACCTGCACATTATCTTCAATACTTACTTAAATTTACAAATATATAATTAAAATATTATTCAAGTCAATAAAATTAATGGAGGCTTCTCTTTTCATAATAAGTAGTATAAGGGTCCACATTCCTGCTGCCCAAAAAAGCTACCCATACCAGATAATTAACACTTTTGTATTATTTTTTTTTAAGTGAGAAAGCTCACTGTCTGTTTGTGCTTCTAGAAACATTTTGCAAAAAAAAAAAAAAAAAGTTTCAAAACATTTCTCCCCATTCAATGTCAGAAAGAACAGCCTTTATAATAAATGGTGTTAGGAAAATTGTATACCTAGTTGCAAAAATATGTCTTATGCCATACAAAAAATTAACTCAAAATGGATTAAAGAACTAAATGTAAAAGCTAACACTATAAACGTCTTAGAGGAAAATATAAGGAAAAATCTTCATGACATTAGATTTGGCAATGATTTCCTGGATAAGACAACAAAAGCACACATAATTTAAAAAACAGATGAACTGACCTTTATCAAATTAAAAACTTTTGAACACCAAAGGATACTGTCAATAGAATGTTAAGGTAACCATTGGAAAGAGGTAAAATATCTGTTAAGGGTCAATATGCAGAATAGATAGATTGCCAAAAACTTAACAACCACAGCAACAACAACAACAAAAACCTGATTAAAAAACGATAAAGGACTTGGACAGACATTTCTACAAACATACACAAATGGTAATAAGCACATGAAAAGAGGTTCAATATCATTAGTCATTACTAATTTAAATTGATACTAATCAAAATAATAAGATATCACTTCACATCTATTGGAATGGCTATTATCAAATAAAAGCAGAAATAACAAATGCTAGAAGATTTAAAGGATACGAAGAAATTCTTTTTTTTTTTTTTTTTTGGTTCTGGTGATTGAACCTAATACCACTGAACTATTTCTCCTGTCTTTTTTACTTTTGAGACAGGGTCTCAATAAGTTGCTGAGAGTCTTGCTAAATTTCTGAGACTGGCTTAGAACTTGCAAACCTCCTGCCTTAGCCTTCTGTGTTGCAGGCATACATCAAGGCACTCAACAAGGATTTGGAGAAATTAAAATCCTGTGCACTGCCGGAGGGAATGGAAAATGGTACAACTACTATGAAGAAAAAAACCTGGGTGGTCTCTAAAATATATATAAATATAAATAAAAATTTTCATATGACCCAGCAATTTTACTCCTAAATAAATACTCAAAGAAGTTGAAAACAGCATCTGGAATGAACACATGTACACAAATATCATTGTAGCATTATTCAGAAGAGCCAAAAGGCAGAAACAACCCATGTGTTCATCAATAGCTGAATGGATACGATCCGTATGTATATGTACACACACACACACACACACACACACACACCACACAAATATTATTCAGCCATAACAAGGAATGAGAGTCTGATACATGCTACAACATGATGAACCATAAAGACACTTTGTAAGTGAAATAAGCTAGACATAACTGGACAAATACCACATAATTCCATTTATATTTAGAATAGGCAAATGTATCAGGGTGGTGAGAGGGGATTAGGAAACTACTTTTTAATGAATACAGAGCTTCAGTTTGCAATGTATAAAGAGTCCCAGGGTCTGTGGGGAGAGGGAATAGACGTTACTATTTAATGGCTATAGTTTCTCCTGGGGATGGAAAAGTTGTGGAAATAGTACTATGAAGGCTGCAAGAAATTGTGAATATAAGCCATGCCACTGAACTGAACATATTAAAATGGTATTTTAAAAAAGTGAAAACTGAGGGGGGGGCTGCAATTGTGGCTCAGTGGTAGAGCGCTCACCTAGCATGTGTGAGATCCTGGGTTCGATCCTCAGCACCACATAAAAATAAATAAATAAAATGAAGGTATTGTGTCCATCTACAACTAAAAAAAAAATTAAGTGAAAACTAGAAGACAAATGAAACACTAAAATAAAACAGTATGGGAATAAATAAAATATAAATTTTTATGTATGCAAGTATGTATGTATTTATGGCAATGTTGGGGTCTGAAACCAGGGCCTTGCCCATACTAGGTAAGCATTCTACCACTGAGCCACAATATCAGTTTGTGCTTTTAATGAAATTGAATCTTTGTTTTACACAATTCACATTTTAAAAATAACTTCCAAAAATTTTTTTCAAACTTACATAATTTAGAATGGCAAGCTGTATTAGGAAGAATACATCAAATGCACTAACATTAAAAATTTTTATAGTTAATACCTACCAGGGCATTTTCTTTGACTTCAAGATTCTTGAGGGCCACATCTCCTAAAAAAAAAAAAAAAAAAAAAAAAAAAAATTATTACAAAAATAAACTTAAAATGTTCAAAACTTTTTCATTTTAAAAGGTTAAGTATGTTTCATTCTTGAATATAATACTAGGGAAGAATAATCACAAAAAAAGTACATAAACAGAAAATAAAATCTACCTTTTTTTTTTTAACTAGCTTACCTTCATTCTTCTGCATGACCTAAGATGGTATGTTTAATCAAAACTTATTGAAATTTTTTTACCTCTGCAATTGTAGCCTAACATTAATGTATACAAATAATTTAATCAGAATAATACAAACAATATAAATCCACCAAAGTAGCATAATACAAGATCAATAAGCAAAAAGCAAGTTGTATTTATATGGGCAATGAACAGTCTGGAAAGAAATTATAAAAATGTAAAATCAGTGAGCACACAGATATTTAAATATAAAAATTTTCAAATTCAAATACAAAATGAAAAAAATTTAAATTAACATAATAGAACTGCCAGATGATTATTATTTTTCCAGAGGGGAAAAAAAGGAGAGATAACATTACATACATATTATATGTAATATGATATAGTTTGAGTAATAATAGCTGCGAAATTTCCAAAATTAATGATACAAACACCATAGATCCAGGAAGCTCAGAGAACACCAAGTTCTGACCTCTCTGGGGACTACTGAAAGGAATGGTTTCTGTATTAGATGACTCAGAGCTCAGGAAAAGAAATTATAGTTTGGATATCAGGTTAAAAGCCAAGAAAACCAGTGGTAGACACCATAACTCATAAGAGCTACACCGAACTATAGCCTGTAAAACTGAGATCCAAGAGATTAAGTATAAATAAATACAAAAAGAATACATATGGCACAAAGAAGTAGGTGAGGTATATTTAAAAATTTAAGTCATATTAAAAGCAGTTGTAACCTGGTATAGTGGTAATCCCAGCAACTCAGGAGGTTGCAGCAAGAGAATCACAAGTTTGAACCCAGCTTCAGCAACTTGGCAAGACCCCTGGCTGCTTGCAGGCAAGCAAGCAGCTGCATATCTGGGGGAACTGAGGGGGAAAAAAAAAAAAAAAAAAACACAAACATAAGCCAAGGGATAATGCATGCCAAAAAGAAGGCTGAGAAAACCTTAGGCCTTCATTCAGGGCTTCCTCATGAAGGTCTCTTAAGTACAGAGCCAGTCTGCAGACTAAGAGGCAGCTCTCTTTTCAAATACCCAATTTTTAAGAAAAGATAAATAATACATACAAAGATGCATACAAAGAAACACAAAAACATGGTCCATTCTAAGGTGAAAAAACTTCAGGAAACCAACATTAAAGAAACAGGCTCAGGATTTACTAGAAAAATGACTTTAAAACAACTTTCAATTATGATCAAAGAACTGAAGAAACACAGGATACAGAACTTAAGGAAATCTGGGAAACTATAAACAAAGAATATCTACAGAGTTAGAAATATTTAAAAAAAAGAACCAAATATAAATTCTAGAGCTGAAAAGTATAATAATCAGATGGAAAAATTTGCTACAGAAATATTAATAGTAGATTTAAACAGGCAGAAGAAACAATCACTGTCTTGAAGATCAGTCATCTGAAATTGTAGAGGAGCAAAAAAGAAGAAAAGTAAATAGAGCCTAAGGACTAACAGGACACTATCAAATGGATCATTTTATGTGTCATGGAAGTCTCAGAGATGAGAGATAAAGAGCAGAGAGCTCTTTGAAGAAATAACATACAAAAACTTCCCACATTTAAGGAAGACATGAATATACAAATCCAAGAATCTCAAGAAATTCCAGATAGGATAAACCTAAAGATTATTAAACTTCTCAGCAGAAACTTTGCAATCAAAAGTCAATGAGATAACATATTTAAAATACTGGGAAACAATTTTAACAAAGATTATATCCACTTAAACTCTTTCAAAAATAAAAGAGAAATTAATATATTCCCAGATAAACAAAAGCTGAGCAAGTTGATTTCCATTAAACCTACCCTATAAAAAATTCTAAAGGAAATCCTTCAAGTTGAAAAGAAAGGATACCAGATAATAAACAAACATCACATGAAAAGCATAAATTTCTCCAGGAAAGTCAAACAAGGACAAATATAAGATCCAGCAGTCTTATAATGTTGATCTTCATCTCCACTTTATATTATGTTTTATATGACAAAAGTACAAAAAAATAATTATAAGTCTATGTTAATGAGTATACGACATAAGATGTAATTTGTCTCACTAATCAAAATATAGATCAAGGGGGGATGCACCTGTAAAGTTGTTTTTGTACACAATTCAAGTTAAATTGGTACTTATTTAAAATACAGTGTCATAACATCAGGATATGCAATCACCATGGTTACCACAAAGAAAATATCTATAGAATATACACAAAAAAAGGGGGGGGGGATAAAAACATGTCCCTACAAAAAAAAAAAATCAACTTAACACATAAAAGCCATAAGGTGCAAATGAGAGACAAAAATAAGCTTTCAAACATATAGAAAGTGAGTACCAAAAAAGACAATACTAAGTCCTTTCTTATCTGTAATTACTTTAAATATAAATGTTTAACTCCCTAACCAAAAATAAATAAATAAATAATGGCAGAATGGATTAAAACAAAATAGGATCCAATAATATGCTAAGAACACACATAGGTTAAAAGCAAAAAGATAGGAAAAGAAATCTCAAAAGAGCAGGGATATCTATGCTAGATATAATCAGACATATAAACTTTAATTCAAAATCTCTTAACTGGAAGCCGCCCGCGCGAGGTCGGGGCGCGCCCCTTGGCGGGGCCGGGGCAGGCGTTGGCTGCGGCGCCGGCCGTCCCTCCCCCCGGGGGTCCCAGCCCAGCCGCCGCGCTGCGAGCCCCTACAGCTGATCCGCCGCTCGTGTCGCCCGCTCCTGCCTCCCTCGCGGCCGCCCTCTCCTCCGGACCAGGGCGCGCAGCGGCCCCTGCCGCCTCCTGGGGCTCCTGCGGGCGCTGCGGGCCAAGCCCATGGTGCGCAAGGAGCGCGTGGTGAGGCCCGACTCAGAGCTGGGCGAGCGGCCGCCAGAGGACAACCAGAGTTTCCAGTACGACCACAAGGCCTTCCTGGGCAAAGAGGACTCCAAGACCTTCGATCAGCTCACCCCAGAAGAGAGCAAGGAGAGGCTGGGGAAGACAGTTTCAGTGATGTTCTACCAAACATTTAAGGAAAAAATACTAATCCCTTATAGTCTCTTCCAGAAAACACAAGCAGAGGGAACACTTCCTAATTCATTCTATGAGGCCAGAATTATCCCAATACCAAAACCAGATAAAGATACTTTGGAAAACTCAAACTAATAGTGACAGAAAGCAGATCAGTGGACAAGAAACATGAGAAAGGAAAGGGGGCTTAAAAGAAAGGATGACAAAGTGACACAAGAAACTTTGGAGCATGACTGATATGTTCATTATCTTAATTCTGATGACATATTCCAATTGCATACACATGCCAACACTTACCAAATTATAGACTTTAAAAAGTGCATTTGAAAAAAATAGTATGTATTTTACTATGTCAATTATACCTCAAATACCTGTTTAACATATATGTAGCAGGATCTAGATAGTGGATAGGTATGTAAATGGACATAGGCTAAGAAAATCTGATAACATGGATTCATACTTGAATACTTTTCATAAAAGTACTATGAAAGAACTTAGAACATGGTAAAAGTAAACAAGTAAATAAAAATTTTAAAACGATTACTTAAGGGCTGGGGATGTAGCTCAGTGGTAAAATGCTTGCTTCACATGCACAAGGTCCTGAGTTTGGTCCCCAACACTGGAAAAATAAAAATAGTAACAATAATAATACTTCAAGAATTAGAATTGGTAATTACCCCTGAACTGCAAGAACCATGTGTCTGGTTCCCTAGTATATTCCTATTTCAGAATAATGACCTCTTAAAATTAGGAAAAAGGTCCTGACTGAATCTTCACTTTTTCCTATATAGTCCAGTCCCTAGCAGAATGGAGGTATGCAGTAAATGGCTACTGTACTGTACACAAAGAGAAAACTGGGGATTAACATTTCAAAAACAGGATATGCACACCAGTTAAAGAGCAATAACAATGTTACATAAAGATGTCAGGCATAACAACAACAAAAATTATAGTTGTCCAAGTAGTGTAAATTTGGAGAAAAAAAAGAAGAGAAGAAAGACTAAATTAAGAAAAGGCTATGAAATTCAGGTTTTTCTATGCTGAAAGTAATAATTATTACACAAGACACTTTAACTGCCTTTTGAATTTCTAACACTTTTGCCTTAAATGTTCCCTTAAAAAGTAACCCAAAGAAAGACCCAAACTAATAAAATTAGAGATTAAAAAGGACATCTTCACACATTTCTGAAATCCAGAGCATCATTAGGGGCTACTTTGAAAACTTATATTCCAAAAATTTAAAAATATGGACAAATTTCTGGATACATACAACTTATCAAAATTGAATCAAGAAAATAAAACCTAAACCAACCAATAAAAAGCAATGAAATTAAAGCAGTAATGAAGTCTCCCAACAAAGAAATGAAGTCTCCCAACTTAAAACCAGATGGATTCTCACCTGAATTCTAACACATTTAAAGAACTAATGTCAGTGTTCCTCAATGTATTCCATGAAAGAGAAAAGGAGGGAATACTCCCCAAATCATCCTATGAAGCCAGTATCACCCTGATACCAAAATCAGGAAAGGACACAAGGAAAGAAAACTACACACCAGTATCCCTGATGAACACAGATGCAAAAATCCTTAATAAAATGTTAGCAAGTTATATTCAACATATTAAGAAGACTGTACTTCAATTTTGCTTTAATTCCAGGATTGACAGGATGATTTAACATAAACAAATCAATAAATGTAACTTACCACATAAGTAGAATTAAGAACAAAAATCATGTTGTCATCTCAGTAGATACAGGAAAAGCCTTTAGCAAAATCCAGCATCCATTCATGCTAAAAATACCAAAGAAATTAAGGATAGAAGGGACCTACCTCAACATCATAAAGACTATATTCGACAAACCCAAAGCCAACATCACATTGAATAGAGAAAAACTGAAAGCATTTCCTCTAAAATCAGGAACAAGACAGGATGTCCTTGACATGTTCCTATACTTAGAAGATCCACGGGGGGCGGGGAGGGAGACACCACAGGACTGTCGTGTCTCTATCAGGAAACTTCTAGAGCTGATAAATACATTCAGCAAAGTAGCAGGATACAAAACCAATATACAAAAACCAACAGCTTTTCCATATACCAATGGTGAATCCACTGAAAAAGAAATCAATAAAACAATTCCATTCACAATTGTCTTATTATTTTTTAATAATAATAATAATAATAATATACCCAGGAATAAATCTAACCTGGGAAGGAAAAGACCTTTACAATGACAATTATAGAACATTGAAGAAAAAATGAAGAAGACCTTGGAAAATAAAAAGACCTCCAATGTTCTTGGATAAGCAGAATTAATATTATTAAATGGTCATATTATGAAAAGTGATATACAGATCAATGCAATCTCAATCAAAATACCAATGACATCCTTCATGGAACTAGAAGAAAACTTCTAAAATTCATATGGAAGAATAAAAGGCTCAGAATAGTCAAGGCTATTTTGAGCAATAAAAGCAAAGCTGGAGGTACCACTATCCCTGACTTCGAATTATACTATAGACCTATAGTAATAAAAACAGCAAGGAATTGGCATAAAAACAGACATGAACAACAATAGAAGAGAAGACAAAAAATTCCACAGACACCTGATCTTTGACAAAGGTGCCAAAAACATATTTGGGGAAAAGACAGCCTTTTAACAAATGGTGCTGGGAAAACTGTTTACCCATATATAAAAAAATGAAACAAAATCCCTATCTCTTACCCTGCACAAGTCAACTTAAAATGGCTCAAAGACCTAGGATTTAGACCAGAAATTCTATAAATGCTAGAAGAAAACACAGAGTCAACACTCTTAATATACAGGTGCAGGCATTGCCTTCCTCAATAAGACTCTTAAAGTTCAGTAAATAAAACCAAGAATTAACAAATGAATGGCATCAAATTAAAACAAACAAACAACAAAAAACTGCACAGCAAAGGAAACTATTAAGATCATGGAGAGCCTACAAAATAGGAGAAAAATCCTTGCCAGTTATTCTTCTGACAGAATATCTAAAATATATACAGAACTCAAAAACTTAACACCAAAAAACAAATAATCTAATCAATAAATGGGCAAATTAACACATTTCATCTCATTCCAGTTAGAATGGCAATCATCAACAACACAAGTAATAAAAAATGCTGAAGTGGATATGGTGAAAAAGGTACATTTAAACACTGTTAAACACTTAGTTGCAAATTAATAAAACAACTGAAAATCAATAAGGAGGTTCCTCAAAAGATGAGGAATACAACCACCGTATGACCCAGCTATTGCACTTCTTGGTATGCACCCTATAGTGATACATGCATAACATTGCACAAGAGCCATTTATGGAACCAGCCTAGGTGTTCATCAGAAGATAATGGATAAAGAAAATGTAGCATGCTGAGTTTCACTCAGGCATAAAGAAGAATAAAATTGTCATTTGCAGGAAATGAACAAAACTGAACGATATCAAAGTGACATAGCCACTAGACTCAGAAAGTCAAGAGTCATATGTATTCCCTCATATGTGGAAGACAGAAAAAGGAAGAGGATCTCATGAAAATAGAAGGGAGAGCAGTAGAATAAAGGCTGGGGATTAGGGAAAGGGAGAGGAGAAAAGAAAAAATATAAAGGAAAGAAATAGACCAAATTATGCTATGTGCAGATTAAATATATCCCAAAGAAGCCATTTATGTATAAGTCCCCCCAAAAAAAATTTTTAAAAAGAGGGCACTGCTTAAATGTTATAACTGCAAATACAAAGGAGTGCAATAATATAGGCAAAATATTCATATAAAAAATACCAGTGCTTTTGAGGATGTAGTGAAATTAAATCCTGATATTATATTGATGAGATTGCAAATGATACAGAAACTTCAAAAAGCAATTTCATATAGCATTAATACTTTGCTATCGTTGTTATTATGATGAAATATCTCAGGCTGGGCACTTACTAAAAAAGAAGAAGGGAGGGAGGAAGGGAGGGAGGGGGGAGGAAGAGGAGGAGGAGGAGGAGGAGGAGGAGGAGGAGAGTAGTAGTAGTAGTAGTAATAGTAGTAGTAGTATAATTAGCCCACAATCTTAGAGGCTGAAATTCAAAAAAGCACAGTGCTATGGTGAGGGTCCCCCTGGCTATAGCATCTTGTGGTAGATGGACTCACAATGGCAGGAACACATTCAAGAAAGAGATCACACAGGGGGACAGGAAGCCAAAGTGAGGAACAAGTAATGACTTCCCACTAGGCCCTAGCTCTAGAAGATCCCAGAACCTCTTAACATCACCACACTGGGGACCAAGCTTCCAACACCTTTGGGGGATACATTCATACTATATCCAAATCATAGTGTGGAGGTTTTTTTATTTATTATTTGTTCTTTTTAAATATATATGACAGTAGAGTATATTTTAACATACTATACATACATGGAATATAACTTATTCTAATTTGAATCCCATTCTTGAGGTTGTACATGATATGGAGCTTCACATTCATATGTGAACATAGGCAAGTTATGTTCAATTCATTCTACTGTCTTTCCTGTTCTCATCCTCCTTTGTCTAATCCAATGAACTTCTATTCTTCTTTCCCCCTCTATTATGTGTTAGCATCCACATATTGGAGAGAACATTTTGCCTTTGGTTTTTTGGGGACTGGCAAATGCCATCATTTCATTCTTCTTTATGCCTGAAATATGTAGTTTCTCATAAAGTTACCATATGACCACACAATCCTACTCTCTTAGGTATTTACTCAAGAGAAACAATTTATGTTTACACAAAAACCTGTAAATGAATGTTACTGCAGTTTTACTCGTAACTGCCAAAATAGGAATATACTTCAACTGTCAAAAATATAAATATTTGTAGTTCATTTAGAGAATAAACAACATTCACAAGTACAGGAATGAAATACTTATTTATGTATACAACACATGGATGACTCTCAAATGCATTTTGTGTAAAAAAGTGAAATCAAGAAGTCAGACTCAAAAGACTACAAATCCTGTAATTCCATTTATATGACACTCTGAAAAAGGCAAAATGATGGAGATAGAAATAGATCAGCAATTGCTAGGAGGTTGGGAGTGGTCAACTACAAAGGAGCAGCAGAATGAATTTGGGGGGGCTTGATGGAACTTGTTCTAGATCATTATTGTGATGATATCTGCTTCTTACCATTCATCAAGAGAGACTTGTACACAAGTGTTTTAAATAAATAAATTTATTGATAAATCACACTACACAAAACTTCTCATCAACTGCAGAAACACTGTTTCCCTACAGATAAAAGTACACCTTAATGCCAGGTGCAGTGCTGTGATCCCAGAGGCTTGGGAGGCTGAGGAAGGAGAATCCAGAGTTCAAAGCCAGCCTCAGCAAAAGCGAAGTGCTAAGCAACTCAGTGCTAAGCAACCCTGTCTCTAAATAAAATACAACAACAACAAAAAAAAATAGGGCTGGGGATGTGGCTCAGTGGTTGAGTGACCCTGAGTTCAATTCCTGTATCCCTGCAAAAAAGTACACCTTAAGTGTTTTCTAAGGCTTCTTTCTGAGGCACAATGAGGAGTCAGGTTTTATTACTTTCGCTTTGCAACTGAGAAGTAGCACAAATCAAACAATCTACAAGTTTCTGGTACTCATCAGAGAGGCTGTGCTTACATTTAAGTCCTTGATTTTTGTAGTCCACTCTATCACGGTATTAGATGACATCAGTAGTTACAGAGGTTTTTAAAAAGTCAAACTAAATTACTTGTTTATATTATTCCATAAACAAGAAGACTCAAACAAGTATTTTAGAAGGCTGGAAGTGTGCGTATGTCTGAGAACAAAGTACTTTTAAAACAATATACTATTCACACAAATAATTAGCCTTAATTTTGGCCTCAGAAATTCAATTCAAAAAGGAATCTAATTTCTAATACATTTTTAAAATAAGAAAGGGTATAACACAGAACAGATGGAAGAACTAAAAATGAGGCTCTAGATAAGGTACAGCACTACAGTAGAGACACACAAAATAAAGCTTTAGTCCTTCACCATACAGTGCAGATGCATGCATGTCCTTTCCTATCTTCTGTAGGTCTGACATGATGCCCAGACCATTTAGGTTTTGTTGTTTTTGTTTTTTAAGTCAGTAATTCACTGCCAATGCCACATTCTTCTTGGTCAAGCTATCACTGAACACACAAGAACGACCTAAAGATTTATTCTGACTTAGCACTTTCATCTCTTTTTGCATTACTGGGAACTGAACCCAGTGGTTCATACATGACAGGCGAGCACCCTACCGCTGAGCCACACCCGTCTGTAACCCCAGCTGCTGGGGAAGTTGAGGCAGGAGTATCCCAAGTTCAGCCTCAGCAATTTAACAAGGCCCTAAGCAACTTAGCGAGACACTATCTCAAAAGAAAAAAAAAAACCAATAAAATGGGCTAGGGATATAGCTCAGTGGTTAAGCGCCCCTGGGTTTAATACTCGGTACAAAAAACAAATTTTTGTTGTTGTTCTATTCAGGACTTTCCTGTTAGTTACCAGCCCGGAGCCCAGGCTGGTAGAAGGAAAACCCAGGCATTGAGCCAAACAAGCGAGTCTGGGAGAGGAAGTAGGAGGGCCTATTCAGTCACAGCGCCTTGCCTTCACGTGCGAAG